AAGATGCAAATTAGTAAACAAGAGTTAGAATTCCAATGAATACCAACCGGTGTTTACGACATGCAGGTTTTGGATAAATTTGGCGAACTCGGGCATGTCCAGTTTTGATCGACATGGACAGATGAACCCGGATATTTTTGACATCTTATCTATGAGATGGATGATTCTGTCACCGGGCGCCCGCGGGCAATATTGTGCTTTAGTGGTATGCTATTTTCCGGAAAGCGTTTGTGGAAGGGTCTAACGGTTCTGGAAGTTTCAGTTGACAAATAATTTAGCAGTGTCTGCATCACCAAACAGCATATAACTTTAGTTTTAAATATCACAAAGTTGAACTTAAGAGATGCCCATCCGCATATCATATGTAGGTGAATTAAAGAGACCTTGTGCTCTAGATTTCCCAAAAGATCCCTTTTGAGGTCATGTGATTACACGCTAGTCTGCTATGTTTCAGGTCAAATGAATGGTATGACGTACAACTGCTGATTTAAAACACTCGATTTGTCCGGTTTGCTGTCGGCGAACAATACTAATTTTAAAAGTCTTACTACCTCGCCTACAGAGACACCCCCGAATGCACTGTGCAAAAGTGTCCAGGCATGAAAGCATTTGTCCTTACATTAACTGGATAATTCCTCGTCCGTCGATAGAAGTCGGAAGTTATTCACGAAAGACCGTGCATTAAATGAGATACAAACACACTCAGACATCAAGCAAAATATGCTCCATTGGTGCTTCATTGGTGAAATTGAGTTTACATAATGTTCAAGACCTATCGAATGGGTCATTCGCAGTTTTACCCTCGGGAGTGATATACAAATTTCCTCTAATCGGAGTGACCGTTTCAAACCCAAGGCCAGTTCGACAACGTTTGCGATCAACTGAAAAATTTATCGCTCGCCCTTCGTCACCATCCGGCAAAACTTGTCTATGTCGCATACGAACTATCTTTCTCAATAATGGGTTGAATGCAGTGCCTTACAAAAGAATTTTACAGTACGAAACCACTGGGAATGAAGGGTTATCAAATGGTCATTGAAATTTCATTTTTAGTGAACTTGATAACCAAGTGATGCTCCTGGGTGAAAGAAATCCTTACGTACGTGAAGCCCTAAAGACGTCGAAAAAAGACCCTGCTGCAGCCAATCTTACGCATGCGTGATCGTGCATACCATGTATTAATTCCCTAGTTGGCCGATATTTTGACTCGTGTGAGCGAATAATTGACTGGACGTTGTGGGTAGAACACTGTCCAAGTTGCACACTTCCTGAACACCGTGCCGGCGAATAAAGGAGCTGCGTTGTATGCATATGAATTTCTTATTTACGGATGTCTTACTTCTCTCTGCAGTTTGGGACCTGCACGACTGTAAATTTGCCTGAAAAATCCACTTTATTCCTTTTAGAATATCCTAAAGAACTGCCAATTTTATGTACCTAACTTAATCACTTTAGGTTCAGCGGTGAAACCTGCAAAAAACGGATGACGTGGTAATGCCTACTTTTTGTGAGCTTGATATGTCTTACTTTCTGCCAGTTATGCGAATGACAGAACTCTGACAACACTTCTCTTACAACTTGCTACAAGAGATCCTGGCACTACTTTCAACAAATGGATGGAGAATTTACACTCTGACTTCTCTGCTAGATAGACGGGTAGAAATCGGAAAGTCTGGCTTTTTGAATATTTTATCATCAAACGCTTCTAGACTTTGTTATATAGCTGACTGAAAAATATATGCATCCTTTCAGTTTTCCTCCTCTAGCCATCAACCTAGGTTGACGTTCTGTTCGAGAGTAGTAGATGGATGTGTTCTTTCGAAAACCTCAAGAAGGAAGACTCTTCACCGAAAGCCTTTTTACCAACCAATCTATCAACAGTGTTCCACGTTGAGGAAGTAGGCACAACCACGAAATATGTTCTCATCAGGTTGGGATTCAAGGTCGACAGTTGCAACAGAGCTGGTAAACGCGAACTGGGGGACGGGGTTGGTCAAAGTTATCTTGCCGTCTTTCCACGGCGGAAATCTAATTGCGGAGTAGGACGCAAAGCGCACCCACGCGTTGTATAGTAAATCACTTTTACTTGCGGTGAAAGCCCTGCAATCTATACATCGAATTCAGGTGACTGAACTATCGACCAGAATTCAGAATCGAGCCCGAGAACCGTCCTCATTGAATGCAGGACACGCTCATGCCACCTATCATTGGATTGAGTCCAGAATATCATCCAAAGACTTGGTTCGTCGCTCTGATCGAAAACCCTTAGTGTTCAACGAGGCAAGGATGATTACACACGATGAACCAAGTATACATGCACAGAGGTTCTTCACATGTGCGGGTAGCTTTCTCATTGGCTGCGTCGAACATTTTAAACCTATTACACGTATGAAGCTTACAGCTTACAGCCTTGTACAGTTGAGGAAGTGAAGGCGAAACTGTAAAGTCCTATGGTTTATTTCTCCTACGTAAACAATGAAAATTGTGTTCGGTCGGCGATTTTCAGAGGCAAAACCATGACCTTTTCCTTAAGGGATTGAAACTCATCTTCATTCTCATCCTGCACTGAACTAAGCTTTTGAACACAGAAAACCAAATTTGAGCGTCAAAACGATGCGACGAAATAATTCGGAATGGAACTGAATTATGTCGTTGTGCTTGAATTTATGCTTTATCGATTGAAGCTGCTAAGTCACTAATTTATTCACAAGTTATGCACTCACTTGTGACTATTTGCATCACTTGTCTATTTATTTGCTTATTTATTTATTTATTTATTTATTTATTTATTTATTTATTTATTTATTTATTTATTTATTTATTTATTTATTTATTTATTTATTTATTTATTTATTTATTTATTTATTTATTTATTTATTTATTTATTTATTTATTTATTTATTTATTTATTTATTTATTTATTTATTTATTTATTTATTTATTTATTTATTTATTTATTTATTTATTTATTTATTTATTTATTTATTTATTTATTTATTTATTTATTTATTTATTTATTTATTTATTTATTTATTTATTTATTTATTTATTTATTTATTTATTTATTTATTTATTTATTTATTTATTTATTTATTTATTTATTTATTTATTTATTTATTTATTTATTTATTTATTTATTTATTTATTTATTTATTTATTTATTTATTTATTTATTTATTTATTTATTTATTTATTTATTTATTTATTTATTTATTTATTTATTTATTTATTTATTTATTTATTTATTTATTTATTTATTTATTTATTTATTTATTTATTTATTTATTTAGTGGTTCAGGCTGTAAAAAGTCTTTTTGATGGCTGACCCCTTCGTTATTTAGGTTTGATCTTGGCTAGTGGCACCCCCTCCTAATCCTCCCGCATCCCACTCAAAAATCGTCATTCAATAATATCAGGCTTTCTGCGAAGCCGTTTGGGAATGTCGCAGGTACAAATAAACTGTAGCTTAAAAGTGTCAATAGTCTGCCAAGATAAAAGGTAAACAGCCACTTCATCTGGAACCAGAGTTACGGGTCATAAACGCAACAAACTACTATGAAGGATATTAGTTATTACACTTATCTTTTGGTTACCAGAAACAAACTCAAGTTGAGGTCGCAGATATGAGAGTGGTGACAGTAATTTGAGATTAGTGTAAACAATCAATCGACGTGATCCCATATTAGGAACAATTTGAAGAAGCATTTTGAATGTTAGAGATGTGTAAATTAACCTGTGCTGTCAGTTAACTGAATTGGGCGCACAATGCGGCACTGTTTACTGTACTGCAAGGAAGATGGGCTCAACGCTGAAATTGATTCAATAGGCATTCAGGAGCAATGTGAGCGGTCGGTAACTCATCTCGAGTTAACTGTACGGATACTCGGAAACTGTTTGTTTCACTTGCTGGGGTCCACCTCAAACTTCACTTTACAGACGACTAGCACCTTTGCTAAACTTCAACCTTCATTTGATGGTCTGGGTTTAGTTTACCCTTATGGATGCTATGATATCACTAACGCGGGATTAGTTCCTTTTACTCTCTCTCTGTCCTGAATAACTTATTGTTGGCATCCCGTAACAAGTGAGATATAACAAAACGAAAAAATCTGCATTGAAGGGACAGTTGCAACAGACAGACAAAATAATACTGTCTAGCAGTGATCGGCGGTATAACGGTTGTTATGAGGAATGCACCATTCGCCGGTGTCATAAATGGATGCGCACTTGTCCCCTTTATATTGTGAAGCCCCCTTACGTTACGGAACTTTTTGGGACACTCTCTAGAGGCGGAAAGACCTGAATCAAAGTTTTCGTTTCAAAATAATTACCAGCATTCCCACTGAACTGTCACGAAAATGAAAACACTTTCTATCAGAAATGGTCACTACGTATTTGTCTTCTGCAACTTATTTAGAGATGTGGACTACGTTGCGCATTATTTTGCCTGCTCAAACCAAGTTCAACAAACCCGTACAGTAAATACACTTTGCCGTCGTAATTTTGCTTGATCAGCGTTCTCAGATCTTCATACATACCACCATAATACTCGCACTGGACTACCTGGTCAGTAAAAACAACAGGTTACTCCAGCTGAAATTTTTCAATGTACTTTGCAATCTATCGGATAAACCAAGGGAACACACACAGGAAAGAAGCACAAAATCAGTAGCCAGTATGTCGCGGTCAGGCAGACAAATGAACCCAAAGTGTGCAAAGTTGCGGTTTTTGAAAATTTACAACTGTGATTTGAGCTCCAAACAAGGAGTTTATACCTTCAAAACCACTTCACAAATAACTTGAAATGAATGAATCCAGTAAGTCCTGTTATCCAGTAGACAATGCATTGTTCATCGGAAGACAGGCCACACGTCCTGGCTGATACTAATTGTTTGAGGCTATCTTATGTAATCGCTATACTGGCAAAACAAAACAATAGCTTTTACTTTGAAATGGAAGCAATACGTTTGAAAACTCACAGGATATGTAGGTGTTAATCACCCACTAGCTGTCGGGCGTTTTAAGAATTTGGTTGTAAATTCCAGTTCTGCCGTATTCAGGCCGTCATCTTCGTCAGAAGGAACGTGATTGTTTAACATATTTCCTGTCGGTTGAATGAGAAGTTCTGGGTATTTGTGATGGGCTACGAACAGGTAGACAGCTCCATTTGGTACGATTTGGTTTCCATACTGAGGATGGTTGTCGACATACTTCATATCAACAGCCCACAAATCCTCCTCCTTTACGTTCTGGCATAGGCTTTCAAACAGTGGATCAGAACGTAGGTGTTTGGGTATCGGGCTTCGATGGTGCACCTCAGCGTTAGTCTCCGCTTCACCTGGGGTTGCCATAGAAACTTCCTGGTTAATCTCCATCTTCACATTTTCCACGGCTTCTACAGTGAGCTCATCTGCAGGGCTCATTGTCATCTGAAACTCTGAAACATCGTTGGCTGCTGCTTCAAGCAGTGGCTCTTCCTCCATCAAAACCTCTTCACTTAGTCCTCTGTCGTCTTCTGTTCCGGGGCTGCTGGTCACTGTAGGCATCGCCTGTTGAGGAGTTGCCAGTTCAGGTCTCTTTTCCGTATCACTAGCAAGACTTGATTGGGAAGACTGATAGCGAACCAGCGAAGAGTCGTCGTCCACAAGCAGACAGAGCGGATGGGCGTGCGCTCTATCGATAATTTCACACAGCTCTTGAACTTGGCCTTCATCAAACTTGAAAATTTCGTAGTAACGATTCCGAGTTTCAGAATCTGGACATCCGAGAATCAAAAAATTTGGAAAATCCTTGAATGAGTAGAACCTTTGAATATCTTTATAAGGGTAGAATTTTCTCGGTGGTTGAGCCCCGAATGTCGATGCTTTTTTCACTTTAATTCCATCTGCAATACATCGCACTTTGCAGCGCATCATAGGTTTTAGCGTTTTTGATCTGGGCAAGAGCTCATAGGCCTGATTATGATCAAAAGCCACTGACTTCGGCAGACGTTCTCTACAAACCAACTCTCCTGTGGCCTCCAACCAGTATATCTTTTTCCGACCGCAACTCTTCACTTTCGTAACACTTGGCATGATCTGCTTTCTCTATTCTCAAGTGTTTGAGGTCAGGAAGTTTCAGTCGTCTGCTTCGTGGATGTGGACACCGATTTCGAAACTTCTGCGCAACTATCGTCAACTGTGTCGATTACGCTCCTCTTTGAAGCTTTAAGTTGTTCACTTGACCGCGAAGTTTTGAACAACTGTGCAACTTTGCTTATTTTTTGTCGACCTTTCTACGTGTGTCTACACTTTTGCGCCTATGCGAGAATACACACTTAAATTTTGGCCTGAGACCGTTTGGTTTGGCAAACGGATGTTACGCACACACGCGTGCAAACGCACGCACACCCGTTGGCTGCAGTCCTATTTGGAACTCACCGAACAAATCGAGTACACAGTAGTGCGAAAAACATTGTGTTCAATATTTCGTCGAGCGGAACACCAATTAGAGACGGGACTCAAGGTCGAGTGCCATGTAGCAAGCTCATCAACGACCCTCCGTGCATTTGCATAATGAGTTCGATGTACAGGTCGGTTGTGAATGCAGACCGCCATGCAAAAATCATTCTCCTTCTCTCTGCTTCAGATAACCTCACAAGCTTATCGATTCCAAAGGAGGATATAAGAGAAAGCGAGTCTATCCCTCTCAGTGACTCGTAAACCAGTATAGAAAGAGCATAGATATGCTCACTCCACACATGCACATAATTACATAATTGCTTGTGCGAGATTCCTCAGGTTATCAGGTTTTCTTTCGTGGTGTAGTCAGCACTAAAGCTTGCAATCCGCAACTAGAGCCCAAACGTTTCTCCGACAACTGGTGCGAATACGTTTTCTGTCGGACAGTGGAACTGTACTGAAGGACTTCTTGTAGACTTTCAGTTTTTGTATGAATGTCCACGAATATCAACCAATGATCTAGAATCCACTATGGGTGCCGAATTTAAGCTCTACTCTAACAAATTATGCCCATTTCACCCTATTTTACTGCCAGACCAATTTAATGCAAGTGAGTTTAGGGTTAGATAAAGTTTCGAAACCCCACTGAAAAGTGAGGCGATTATCCATTAGGAATGTTCACAGTAGCTCTACGTCTTTCATTGGGTTTGTTCTAATAACTTTTAATTCGTCCTGCTGTTACTGGAAAAGGTCAGGATTTATTCGAAAGTTCTTCTAACCACCTGAGTCCTACGGTCATGTTTTTCTTACCGTGATTTAGTAAGCCTGGGTCATTATGAATTCTTTCGGCCGCAAACGTATCCGCAGTGAAGCCTTTATGCCCAAAAAGGAACAATTAGGTTTGTTCATTGAAATTTGCCGCCACCGAACAAAGAGTTTGATTGGAAGTAATCAAATTGGTTATGCATGAGTAATAAAAGTCTGTCTGATGATAAAATTTTATTAAACTGGCTTCAGATTAGTCTTCTGCGATTAACTAGATTGTTTTCTGGAAAACAGAAAGTGAACCTTTTAGAGTGATGATAATATATAGAGGCTATAAGAGGTCTAGTCAGCTGAAGGAAAAGATGAGGTTACAACGGAACAAAAGATGAATACTTATGAATACTAAGGGCAGTGCATAACCCAGAACGAACTGACCACTACATTGGTGCTTCGCTTCACGTCTTGATTTTAGAATAAGTTGTGTATAACTATTAGAACCGCAGACCATCTTTCACCTTGTTTCTTTCCAGTTACTGCCGCTATTGACCATCACCTGCCTGGAACGAATAGGAGGTGGTCGGTTTAGTGTAGATGGAAATATAGATATCAGACAACCACCTGATTCGTCTTAGTGTCGATCCCTTGAAAGCGTCATCCTCAATATTTCGACTTGTATACCTGACACAGTATGGAAAAGAATTTTATTTGTGTGAATAATTCGATCCGGTTACAAAACAGAATGAATGCTACAGTTACATCGTTCACATGAGGTTTGATTTGTCCTTTAATATATTCCTATGAAGCTTTTTGGGAAGGCAACTTTATTCTTAATAAAAGGTATTTTTGCTTTCCATCACAGTGGTTGCAAATGACTTTCCCACTACCATCAGCCAAAGTCCACGTCATCGCGAGTGCACTAAACTCAGTCATGACAACCACGTTATTCTTGTCTTTTGGTACAAATACCTGAAAGCAGGATAAGTTTCCTCCAGAAGTGTCCCGCATAACAACAAGCAAGCGACGGATGCTGAATGCACACAAATAGCTATATTGTATTGAATCCTTTTAACCGATTTTAGACAATTGAAAATGAAATTCCTTATCGTCTTAATGGTAATTAGCTAGGCTTTTGTGGGGTGGGGAGAACAAGCCGGTTGGTAAGGGGGTGGGTCAAAGTTTGTTTGAGATGCAGATGGATAGATTTAACAGGTGCTGTCGTCAAATGAACTATGATAGTCATGATCACTTCCGTCGGTAATTTCGGAAAGACTGGAATCTATTGTATTTAACGGCCATGTTTCACGATTAGAAATTATGGCAGAGTAAAAACCATTTTCGAAAGACTTAAGATGCTTGTTTGTAGCCTAATCGCAGCTCTATTTCACAGGTTGTTTCTTAGTAACCCGAATATGTTACCGTTAGCAGTTCATTGTAAATGCACTCCTGCACCTCTTTCTTCCCCCATCTTTAAGGTAAGGTCGTGATACCCAAGCATTTTGAAACCATAAGTTTTCCCTCCTTATAACTTGCTGCGCTGATTGTTCATACAGGTACCTCCTCAGAAATAGAAACTTTGGGTCTCCATAGTTTCGACTTTCGATCCTACAAGAACTGTCCTGTGAACATATGCTTGAGTTCTCTCAATATGCCGGAAACAGAATGAGATCATCACAGACTTCTGGTTTTAACGGCCACATTTTTGAGAGCTCAGGTCGAAAACACCTTAGTCTTCCACTGGTTTTGCACGTCTGAAAAGCAAAACAGCTATGATAATGTCGTAAATCAGGCATGATATGGAACTCGTAGGTTTCCATCCAGTTTGTAAGGAGGAGGAACTTCACCAGTAAGTCTACATAATAATCAGAATTTTACTGGGCACACCATGAGCTACTAGAATATTCCATAGCGATTTAGCAATACTGGGCTAAAAAGCTGAGTGAAATTCAACGCAGCGGGTTGTTTGCATTTAATTAGGATTTCTATGATCCACAGAGCAGCAAAATGGTCGTACACAAAAAACCTCACATGAGAGATGATAAGTTCACTTGGGGTGAGGTTGAGTCGACTGAAATATTCAACACTGGATGCAGACGCCATGCTCAACGGCATTTCCCACCATCATAATGCGAACTGTCCTGATGGAATTCATGTTTAGTTACGGCAGTGTACGATATTCAGCTTGTTTAACAGGATATGCCTCTGTTAGCTTTAGATAACGATACATTGTACTGTGTTATGCAGTCTCTGATGTTAGCAATACAGCTGGTCAGCAGTGACTTATTCTACCTGGATCTTTGAAAAATCCCACTGATAATTCGGACGAAATAACTGCTTTTCTGAGCGTCTTCTTCTCCTAATGCGTACTTTTTGATGTAAGACCACAAAGGGCTCCTTCATTTTTCCGGTTGATAACGTAGTGCAGGTTTGCACACTTTGACAGATACGTAAAATACGGATATTGTTCCTTTCCATCCTGTGTATATTCCAACGCTGTCATCACTGTACTCCTGGTGCCGACTAACCTCCATCCGCTCTCTTCCCTGTCAGTCGAGAACTCCTTGGTCATCATCTATATAACCCATCTGAGTCTACCTGGAAGAAAGAAGCCGTCCGAAACAACCAGGGTTGGGAGATAATAGTGCCATTCCAAACGAATACTAGTAACCGCAGTTACGTTGGTCTGACTCCCATTTTAACAAGAATTCAGGCGTCGTTACTTCATGAGTTTCACAAGGTAGCACACAAAAACATAACCCATGAGTATCAGGGAAGGTTTTTGACCGGGTGCATGCCGCACCTAAAATATCATACATCAGGCATTGGAGCAACGTTGTGTGGACAGATTACCCACAGTCTTGATGTTCCTTGAATTTAAGAATGCATTCGACATTGACCATCACTCAGTAGATCTAATCGCACTTTTCTGCAAGTGGTACCCTTATATATTCGCATATATTCACATATTTTCAGATGTTTTTGAGTACAGTGATGTCTCTCTAAATGTTTCCTTAAAAATTTGTGCCCGGCAGGCATTTTATTAAGCTTTGCCATGGATCAGCTAATGAGGCAAACACTGGAAGGCTTTCAGTACTCTAGTGTTCAAATTCTTCCTACTTGGAAGCCTGTCAACTGGAATATAAAGACGGCAGCATCCCAAGTTCATAAGATGAACACAGCGCAAGTGTGGTTGGATAGACATACCATGCGTGTGCCTTGCACACAAAATAGTGGTTTCGCACATGGAAGCGTGGTCTCTGAACGTATCCCCAAGAAGTCATTGCAACGGATGCTAATGGGAGTTTTGCAAGTTCTGTTGGTGGTATTAGCTTTGACGGAAGTCCCGATGAAGTTAGTGCACGAATCTCTAAAGTCCGAACAAGGTTTGCCAATGTGCATCACCTATGGTGTCAAAAAAGCCATCAAGAATTCTCAGGGGTTGCGTACGCCTAACCACAGTATGAGCTGTGATTTTTTACGACTACGAGACACACGCTCCGTGGGCAGATGAGCTGAGGCATCTTCAGACAATCGATCATCGATGTTACAAAATCAGTCACGGAATTGGATGGCGTTGAAGATTTTGCAACAAAGCAACTAAAAAACGGGAATCTGGTTGTGTAGCGGCTAATTTAGCTGCAAAGAAGCTTCCACTGTCATCATCTACGATAGCCGGACAATGTACAACGCATGACAAATCCTCCACAAAGACAAATATTGCTCTTCGTGCCTCCTCCAAAATGGCATACTGAGAGGTATGCAACATGTGGTTTGGCAGAGACTTGTCAAAGAAATTACGAGGGACTTGATGTAGATGCGCGCTGCCTTCCAGGATGGAGTCCTCATGATTCCTACGCTTGGCTAAAGGCGTT